ATGATATGCCTCTCACCAGGCCGAAACAGCTGTACATTACTGGAGGCGTGCTGTAACTTGCTGACCCTACCAAGCGTTTTTCTGCGACTCTTTTGATCATCCCTAACTTTTCCTTCTCAGCAACTGTGGTATTCCATGTTTCATTCCCATACAACACAGATCTACTCATAAAATCACACTGAAATAAACAAAAATTCGATAACTGGAAATAACTTACGATAACAACGTTGACAGCGATACAGTGCCGTATTTGATTCGGATCTTTTGGTTTTTGCGAACGCAGTGGCAGCACATTTGCTTTCTGAACTTCCGAATTAATGCTTATTTTGCCAATATTCACAGATTTCTCGAAAAATTCATCGTCTTCAGTACTTTTTGGTAGCTGCTCTGTTTCCCTGAAACGCGTAAAAAAATAATTAAAAAATGTTCCATTTTAATAAAAATACCCATTTTAAGGTATTTTAATGTTCCATCAAAAAAAAAAAAATAATGAAAAAAAAAATGTTCCATTCTGAGGTGATTACTACAGGCACAGTGCTGCTCTTCGGATCACTTCTGTTTGCTGATGCCTCGTGTAAAGAATGAAACATGATTGGCAGCTTCAAGTCTTTAAGCCTTTTAACGAAGATTAGTATAACGAAATTCAATTTTGCTAAAATTTCTCGTTCGACTGGTGGAGATCCAGCGTTGTTGATATGAATTATTGGAAAATACCCAAAAATTGCCCCTTCGAATTTGAGCTATATATCACCAGAACCTGTACTATGTACGAATGCTGCGTCTTATTTCGCTTGACATTTGATTTTATCGCCATCAACTTGCTTCTAAGCAATCCCTGAAAGAGGGAGCTATCGAAAGCCTTGTCTGCGCGTAGATTGTTGACACTAGACCTACTTCCGAGTGCCTCCATCTCCCAAACAGAGTTGTAATCTTTAATCTGCAGAATAAGATATGGCATCAAAAAATTAAATATATGTAAGTTACCAAAAAGGATGAATTCTGGATACAGCCATCATAATAGAAGATGGCTATGTGGTTATTTTTAGCCCTGACAAAACGTTTTCCTTTGGAGCCCAATCGTTTCCTCAAAACCGAACAAGGAGTCGTTCTTTGCCTCATAATCGAACAAATGAAATTATTGAAAATCTAACATGAATAAGAGTTGTTTCGCTTTGTTGAAAGCTTCAATGAAAAACTTCCTCTTCATATTTGCATCAGTAAGAGG